AATGTAATTTATTCTGTGGCATTTTCATGTTTATATGTGCAATGATTCTAGGTATTCAGTTACATCCACCCCCCCCCCCCCTTTTTTAAACCTTTAAAAAAAATTTTTTTTGCTAAAATTTGAATCCATATAATTCTGGGACATATTTTTAAAATAAACAAACCCTGTAGATCCTGGTAGCTCAATGATTCCTATCTTAGAACTATGGACTGGATTAGCTTCCAATTGGATGAAAAAGAATCAATAAATTTAATGGCCGGAGCTCAGTTATTCACACACTCAGTGCCTAAATTTATCGCCCTGAGATGTACATTTACATAGTTCAACAATACAAAGAGACCTTTGAAATTCCAACATGCCAGAGATTACGTGGCTGCTTTATAACTTTAACTACAGTTTCAGATCAGACTCGAAATCACCACCCTCTGTTTGTAAATTATTGTTGGGATAAAGTTATATGTTAACAGGTAAAATGCTCACCAATTACTTCTTTGGGCAATTTTTCTGTGGGCAGATTCTTAGCTAGAAATGTAAAAGCAATTTCATTGCCTTTACAACATCCATTATGCCAATATACAGTATGCCAACAAAACATTGTCTCTTTCTTTTTAAGGACACAGTAAGTTTATCTTGGCCAGTTAGTTACAACTACCTAATTAATTTATACAAGGTATAAATTAAATAATACAAACTAGTCATTAAAGGTAAAGATTCCCCTCACACATATGTGCTAGCCATTCCCGACTCTAGGGGGCGGTGCTCATCTCTGTTTCAAAGCTGAAGAGCCAGCACTGTCCAAGACGTCTCCGTGGTCATGTGGCCGGCATGACTAAACACTGACGGCGCACGGAATGCTGTTACCTTCCCACCAAAGGTGGTTCCTATTTTTCTACTTGCATTTTTACCTGCTTTCGAACAGCTAGGTTGACAGAAGCTGGGACAAATAGTGGGAGCTCACTCCATTACACGGCGCTAGGGATTCGAACCACCGAACTGCTGACTTCGATCGACAAGTCTTAGCCACTGAGCCACCGTGTCCCAGTCATTAAACTAGTCATTAAAATGCACAATAATGCAAAACAGTTCTTACTTGTACCCCAATTTTTTTTTAAAAAAAATTAAAATTACCTGACATTAAGGAAATAAGTCTTTGCCTGGCTTCATTTGATGCTCTTGGCGTACGAATTCGGTCTATCCATTGATATTCTGGATCTTCATTAACCACAAGTTCTTCTACAAATCCATGAATGATTACAGCTTTATAGCATTTCGGAATAGACGTAGCTGTTAAAGATAAGGTATGACTTATATTTAATCAATGAAAATAATTTATGGAGATGCTGTAATTTGATTCAAGGGAGCCCCACATTCCCAATAAATATATATTAACAATGATGCGTAAATATATTAAACAGAAAAAAATTATGTTGCATTGTTGCGAAGTTGTGCACCTCTGCCAAACAGAGTGGTTGGAGCAGAAGGCAACTCAGGTAGAGAAATTGACCAGGCTGTCAGTTTGACACCCCTGAGGTAGAGAGTATTCAGAAGATGATCTCAGAATGAGAACAAAAGTTGAATCGAAAGTAATCTCACTACGAGCAAAGACAGTTGTAACAAATGAGAGAGGACCCAATAAGATAAAAGACAGCTAGGGAATTCTGGGAGTTGAAGTCCACACGTTTTAAAATTGGCAAGATAGAGAAACCCTGCAATTACCAGTCAATTCTGGCAATTGTGCACTAATAAGAATGATCCAAAAAATGAGGAATCTGGTTGGAAACATCCAAAGAACACCCAAAGACTCTTCATCTTAAGTGGTCTGAATTGGTTCGTTGGTTCTTTCATTTTTCATATACAAATAAAAATGTGTTTTTCGACTTACTGCAGAAAAACTTTACTCCACACGACGATTGTCTAAAGCGGTTCAAATCATTAAAAAGGTCTACCTTCACCATCACATTGATCTCCCCACGTATACCTGGATGTGAAAATAAAAGCAACAGGATGAGAATTTACGTCAGAACACAAAAACTGACTATCCAAGTTACCGGATTGAAGCCTTATCATTCTAATCTAAACCCTAACACAGATACAATTTCAAACAGAAAATAAGCTTCTAAAAATGGAATACAGGTAGTCGTCGACTTATGACCATAATGGAGTGTGACCATTATGAGTTGTAAAGCAGGTCATCTATGCAGGTCAACTAAACTGATTTTATGACCCTTTTTGTGGTGGTTGTTAAGCGAACCTGGCAGTCATTAAGCAAACCTTATGGTGACACAGTGGTTAGAATCTAATATTGCAGGTCTAAGTCTGCCCACAGACTGACGTTCGAGTCTGACTGGTTCAAGGTTGACTCAGCCTTCCATCTTTCTGAGGTCGGTAAAACGAGGACCCAGATTGTTGGGGGCAAAATGCTGAGAGAGGGCCACAAAGCACTACAGAGCAGTACATGTCTAAGTACTATTGCTAATGTTTGTTATGGGGCATTTTTGCCAAAAACTGGACCCTGTCAAGGATTTTTTTTACTGGCACAGCCTTTTCTGCAATGGTTCCAAACCTCTACAACAGCGATGCCAAATTGTTTTTGGCTCACATGCCATAAGAGGGGTGGGGGAGTGCAGGGGGCTCATGCGCGGGCATGCCGCACCCATAATGCGATGCGTGATACACACCCCACTGCGCATGCCTGCATGAGAGGTGCTCCCCCCCATTTTTGGCAGGCTTTTTTCGCCCTCCCCAGGCTCTGGAGGCTTTATAGGAGCCTGGAGAGGGCGAAAAAAGCCTCCCCCCCCCCACAGAGACCCTCTGGAGGCTTCAGGGACCTTCAGGATGCTTCCCTGAAGCTTCCGAAGGGCAAATAAACGACCATACGAGCAAACTGGAAGTTCCGGTTTGTTCGTAGGGTCCTTTTTAGTCCTCCAGAGGCTTCAAGGAAGCCTCCTGAAGGTCCCTGAAGCCTCCGGAGGGCTTAAACCGACCCTACGAGCAAACCGGAACTCGGTTCCCGAACTTCTGGCTTGCCCATAGGGTTGTTTTTTTGAGATCCAAAGGCTTCAGGGAAGCTCCTGAAGGCCTCTGGGGGAGGGGCAGGGGAGGCTCTTTTCACCCTCCCCAGGCTCCTATAAAGCCTCTGAAGTCTGGGGAGAGCGAAAAATGCCTTTAAAGAAGGCTGAACTTAGCTGGCCAGCGTGCGTATGCGCGCTGGCCAGCTGACAGGGCAACGCCTCGCGTGCCCTGACAAATGGCTCCGCGTGCCACCTGTGGCAAGTGTGCCATAGGTTCGCCATCCCAGCTCTAGAACATCTAGTCCCTTGAGGTGAGGTCCTCCCCATCCTTTTAGCCGCCTGATGGCAAACCTATGGCACGCAGAGCATCTCTGTTTGCACGCGTGCTGTCACCAGCTGCTCTTTGGGTTTCTGGCATGTGCATGTGTGCCAGCCAGTTGAGTCTTTGTGCGCGCTGGAGCACGGGAAACCCAAAGACCATCTGGCCAGTGCGTACGCCTTCCAGTCTGGGCTCTTCAGTGCCAAAAAGATTCGCCATCACTGCCTTTTGCCTATCAAAAGGACCTCCCGTTCTGAAGGTGATTAGTAAAGTAGGAGAAGATCCCACCTCCGCTGCATTTATGCTTTAGTCCTTTTTCTCCAGTCTGTTGTAATTTTACTGTTTTATCTTTTCACGCTTAATCTGCAATGTTCAAATTGTTTTATGCTGTCCTTTTATGACATTGTAAGCTGCCCAGAGGTGCTTGATAGTGAGATGAGTGGCCTATAAATTTAATGCAGACAAACAAAGGCTGAACATTAAAGTTTCTTGGAAACAAATTATCCTGGAAATATAAGGCCCTATTAAGTGAAGAACTGGGAGTACAGCAGGAACTTTATTCTAGCTCCAGGAGAACCCCCAAACTCTGTGCTTTAAATCTCCTTCCTCTATTGTGTTTGCTCACCAGTGTTTGAACTCCAGACTCATGAAACATAAGAAGGAGTCAATGGGTCCATCAGGAAGCTGGCTGGGGGACAATATCTTTAGTGACCCTATGTTCTGTCCTGCAAATTCTGGAAAGGATTGAGCTCATACCGTAACTTTCATCTGATACTACATGGGGAAATGGACACAGCATGCATCCATAAATACATTCTTAAAAGCAAGTCTTTGGAAAAAGAAAGAGGCATTTTAAAGAACGCAGTTGGAACTTTTAAGAACCCAAGAATGAAGAAAAATCAGTGTTTGGTCTGAATTCTCATTCACACGATCAGTCTTTTCCTGCTAATCTTATTGATGTCTTTACAAAAGAAACATGCAGGACAATTATAAATTGTCTTGTCTCTTTAGGAAAGATCAAAATGTTAAAATAACAATACCTGCAGCAGGTGGAAAAAGAACTAAAGGGAAATGTCTTTTTTCATACAGAGAACTATACAAATATTTCTCTCCCTTCACCATTCCCATTTCTAATGATGCCAACAATGATTATGCAAGCTTTGTCTAATAAAAATACAGGTAGTCCTTCAGTCACTTATCAACTGTCTGAAGCTATGATGGACCCCAAATGGTATTTACAACCCAGTACTGAATTATGAAAAGGGGGCGGTCACTCAGTGAGCTTGTCGATCAGAAAGGTCAGCAGTTCGGCGGTTCAAATCCCTAGCACCATGTAACTGAGTGAGCTCCTGTTACTTGTCCCAGCTTCTGCCAACCTAGCAGTTCAAAAGCATGTAAAAATGTAAGTAGAAAAATAGAGATCACCTTTTGTTGGGAAGGTAACAGCGTTTTATGCACCTTTGACGTTTTGTCGTGCCGGCCACATAGCAATAGCAGTTAGACTTATATACCGCTTCATAGGGCTTTCAGCCCTCTCTAAGCGGTTTACAGAGTAAGCATATTGCCTCCAACAACAATCCGGGTACTCATTTCACACACCTCAGAAGGATGGAAGGATGAGTGAACCTTGAGCCGGTGAGATTTTGAACAGCCGAAC